ACTTGGCATTAACATGCGACCTGTATCCGGATGTTGTCCACATACACATCGAAAAGACAAGTGTAAACGTACATCTGATCGGAATGTTATCCGATCAGCGTGTCCCGGATCGGAGGTAGTCGAGGACGCATTGTGATCGGATCTCAGTGTAATGTAAATGCAATCCAGCCATCGTGTCTGCATTCACAGGTGAACGTAATTTAAATCCCCGCCCAGTCTCCCCGCGTGACTGTCAGAAAGTAATGGCCAGACGCAGTTTAAACAAGAAATTAAACTTATCTGAACAATAAACGTCAATCTTTAAAACAGTTTATTTATGTGTGTCATTTTTCATTTTAATTGTGCAACATTATCTGAACGAGGCGATCGACTGTACACTCACAGTCAGTCATGAGATCTTAATGAAGAGCTGAACGCTGCTATGCCAGAGGAATAATCGGAATCGGAATTTTTTAATGTTTTAAATGTTGAATGTTTTTATTGTTTCAGCATGTTTATCAATCTCCCATTTCTGTCAATATAGTCATTGCACGCAACCTTAAACCCAGATGATCGATGATGTGACTTGTTTAACATGATCAACCCAGTTATTTTTGTAAGATCAACTCTGGAAGTATTCCTTCTTTCAAAAAATATAATTTGATCTAATTAATGGAGATTGCATGAAAGTAAAGTGAGTGAGTGAAAGCATTTGGGATGTTGTTTAATTTGTATCATCTTCACTATTAATCTGGTGTCGTGCCACAGACCTGATTTAAATATTATTCGGGAAACAGAAATCCGATCGGTTATCCAGATACAGAGGCTGCTTTAATGTGAACAAATATAAATGCACCATGTCCTGATTGGCTAATGATCCGATCTGCTTGATCGGATCACGGTGATCGCATGTTAATGCCAAGTGTAAACGCAGCCATAGATTGAGTAAAGACAGGTGAAACAGATGATGATTAACTAGACAGGTGCTACAAATGAAGACATGTGACATGAAGGCAGACACCTGTGACATATTTAAAATAAATGTAGGCCACATTTTACTGGTAACAAATGACATTTGGCATTATCAGGACCCACAAAAATTTCCCTATTGCATTATTGTGCTGCATTTATATATTTGCATTTATTTATTTTACTTAAAAAAATATTCAACATTTTATATAGTAGCTTGATGTAGTACTGACACTAATCACACATTTTCTCCTCACACAGAAATTTTATTTTGGGGGAACTATACACAATACATATTGTTACTATCCACAATAGCCTACATATTGTTGCATTTTAGTATTGCGATATATTGTGACACGGTATGTTGTTACACCTCTACTGCTTATCGAAACGAATCTGCAAAATCGTCTTTTTTGAACTTCATAACTTTCTGATATCCAACAGGTTTGTCAATGCATGACTCTTCGCAGTTATACGTAAATGATGATTTGTTGTGCAGACATTGCGCTTGACTGGTCATGGTGAGTTAAAAGGAGAAATCAGTAGAGATTTTGTTATTCCTAAACAACGAAAAGTCTGCCAAACCTTGTGCTATTCCTAACTGTGTGTAGCACCTGTTGCTTTGCATATCTTTCTATACAATCCCATTGTTAGAAACGAGCAGCTGAAGTTTATTTTTAACAAAGTGCTTGATCGTTTCAGTCTGACTTTATCCATTTATGCAGTATATTTCAGCTTGGATTGTTTTGCGATTCTGTCACAATGTGGATGGCTTCGCAAAGAGACTTTTATTGAAAGATGAGACAGTTAAAAACTATTTTGGATCCAACAGCTAAAAGTGAAGTTTTTCTTAAAGGCACAGTAGCAAAAAACAAACAAACAAAAAACACACACACATACTCTGGAGGCCTTACAGCGCCACAGAGATTCTAGCTTGTGTTAGAATACGAAAAAACATTTTAGCACAAAAAAATTACACTTCAGTAAGCTTCACCTTTAAGTAACACCCACAAAGACGTGCAATTACATAGATTGACTTATGCAACACATTTTAATAAGACTCCATCAGAAGCTCTTGAGGCAGGAACTGAATGGTTGAATTGCTATGAGTTTAAAATGAAAAACAGACTAATACTCAACGGCTTCAGAAAGAGTGTAAGTGTGTGTTTTTGAGTGTGTGTTGTGGGTGGTGACACTTTAAAGTGCACAGCAGCAACAAAACCCCTCCCCCTGCATCAGAGAGCTTGTTGCTATGGTGACGGGCTTTGGCAGCCAGCAAAGCTTGTTATAAAACTCATAAGAGTTTCAGTGACCCTAAGAATACGCCAGTCGTCTAGTCAAAATAGCTTATTAGAAATTAGTTTATAGACATGCATCCATCACTCCGGCCATAACAGCTGTGTGTATCTCTAAAGAGCAGATCTCTGAGGAGGAAAAAAAAAAAGCTATGTGGTTGCTAGGATGTTGCTTACTGGTCCAAGTCAAAAAGACGTCACACACAAGATGATATGTTTTGTTGTCTCTTTCAATGTAAGTCTAAGGGATTTTTTCCTGTTTATGCAAGCTGCACAATTTTAGGTATCCGTGTCGCATGATCCTTCAGATATCATTCTAACGCATGTCCTAAACAGACGAGATGCGATAAGTTTCCAGCGATAAGAAATTTGTCTGTCCACATCAGACGCGACACGACTATGAGATGACAAAATCAATCAAAAATCACAGCCAATCAGAACAGCCTGTGGGCGGAGTCTCTGCAAGCACTGCATTCCCAACAAAATGGATAATAATCAAATTCAAGTATTATACCATTTTAATACTTATAAAAATACACACTGAGTGACTGAAACAATCATAGAATACACTTGTTTTTTCACCGTTTGTTTCCTTTCATTTATTTTCAAGATCTGATGGCTATTTTCACGATGGCTTTAAAGGTCACACAAAAAGATATTTAAACTCACATCAATTTTTTTAACAATTAATAAAGCACATAATCAGTAGCTGAGATTATCATTGCCGTACTGCATGCTGTTGTTCCAGCTGGAACATTGCGGAAATAGAAACTGTTCCTAAAATAGAATTGTCACGTATTGCCGTTGCTGCTGGTTAGGATAAAAACATACATTTAACACGTGTTGTGGCGTCAGTCACGTCTGGTTAGGACAATGTTATATGCTATTTTGTTGCTCAAGTAACATTTCATATTAATATATCAAAACAGTTGAGCTGCTCAGTTTTTTTTTGTGGAAACCATGATTTTTGTTTTTTTGATGAACAGAAAGTTTAAAAGAACAGCATTTATTTAAAACAGAAATCTTTTGTAACAATATAAGTATTTACTCTCACTTTTAATCAGTTTAATGAATCCTTGTTGAATTAAAGTATTTATTAAGCATTCATTTAAATAAAAAATCTCATTGGCTACAAACATTTGCACTATAGTTTGCATTTTTTGCAGTCATTTTATTGCTGCTTATTTTAAATGAAAGTATGACCTTTGAATCATTTAGCCAGATGTTTTGTAAAGGATAAAACATGAATTTTTTTTAATTTTTTTTATGACTTTACCAATAACAAACATAAGTTTTCTCTACTTGGGAAAAGATAAGGGCTATTAGTTCCTCCCGAGTACTTCCTTCAATGTATTATTGTATGATATATTTGAGTCAGGCTGAAACAGATCTACCCAAATGTTTCAGACCATGGACCATTTATAACCATATTTTGCAGAGAATCTTAAAAATATACATAAACAAAATATTATATTACCAATTTTGGTCAAAAATGGATGCTTAACATGATTTAAGTTGAATTACAGACCGTCAAATACCAGTTCTGTGATGTCTGTTCCATTTTTGTCTTCCATATCATGGATGTCCATCTTTTTTTATAACCAGTAGATTTATTTTAATACCCCATACCGCATATCATGCCTTCAGCTTTCTTGGTTAAAAGCCATTTACAAGTCCCAGACCACCTCTTTGTATTGAATTTGTTGGCTTTTAAACCTGCAGTCTTTCATTGCGTCTACTGAATTTGTAGACGGCGAACTGCTCAAGTTCTCTTTATTGATTTGGCTGAGCGGCCCCTGCAGCTGCTCCTTTTCTCTCGGCTCCTCTTGGCAGTGACGGAGGCTCTCTCTGATTTCCTGTTGCATAAAGTCCTTCTCTCTCATGTTAACTCTTTCCTTAATGTCGTGTTTGACAGAGCGTGTTCCCTGAATTAGTATTTGTGTAACACGTTCAGTAACTATTAAGGTTTGCAGGCTTTTTATTCGAGTGCTTAATTATTTTTAGTATGCAATGTTCAACGTGTGTTAGTATTTTACAATATTCTGACAGTATTTGTCAGTATTCTATTTCTACACAACAAAATATTGTTCAATTTACTTTATTAAAATGAGCTGAAGCAACACAATTGCCGAACAGCTTGCTGGTAAGATTGTTTTTGAAAGAAGTCTCTCATGCTCACCAAGGTACACATTTATTTGCTCGAAATATGTAATTATTCTGGTTACCGTTGTGCTGAAGAGTAGAGTTTGTGCTTAGGTGGCTACATGTATGATTCATTACTCAATGAGCAATAGCTGTGCTAATAATAACACTTCTTACTTGTTGTATTTGAATGCAAACGTGCAATGTGAGTTATAGAAACTATATATAAACTGAAACATTAGTAAGTTCAGCATCAAACGTGTCTAAAATTAATCAACTCATTTCCTCTAACCACTTGCCTTAAATTTAAGTAAAATCAAAAAGCTATTTTATTTTATTCTATTCATATTTCAAAGTCAATATGAAATCAAATTGACATGCTTCTAGTCTTAATGTATTGCTTGGTTATTGGTTGAATTTGCTTCACCTTTCTTTCTTGTCATGAATCTCTGATCTGATCTTTTTCTCAATAAACATCCAGTTTCACTCAGAAATGCACCATTTTGGAAGTAAAATGGGTTGTAACCTTATTTCATGTTGATTTGTATTGATTCGTGTGTTCACAGCTTAATCGTAAATCACTATCCCTCTTTCTTCCCCCCCCCCCCCCCACAGAAACCTGTCCAGGAACCCTCTGACGACACTCTCTTGGCAGCTTTTTCAGCACCTTCAGCTGGTCGAACTGTAAGTTCATCCTGCATTGGTTAACAGTATTTCACCAATGTGAGATAAATCACACACAAATCACAAACACACCAAGCAATAACTCCTCAATCTATGATAGATCTCAGAACTCTCTCTGCATAGATTTCTGTGATAAGCAGCACTCGCCTGCCAAACTGGATGCTGAAATGCAGGCTTGATGCTCAATTGCATTGCTGTGTTCTTTAGAAATGTTTTCAGCAAGTTACTGTTGATTAATTTGTTTGTGCACCCCCTGCTCTCCCCCCTCGAATAGACTTGTGTCTATGTCAAAGCAAAACTTCTCCAGTGATGAAGCAGAAATACTGTTTATGTCTGCGAACAGTGGAGTTGCTCGTGCTGGTTAATTAAGACATGGCATTGAAATGTATTGGTCTTGTCTGCTGAGAGCCTGACCTCATTTTCTTGTTTGTCATGAATATTTGAGCAATCTACATGTACATAAAGTGATGAGTTTGTTTATTGATTGTGAGCGACGACGTGGTGCCGTCGTGTTGTGTTTAAAATGACAAAACAATTCAATTATTTTTCATTTGACACGCCCTGTCCTCGTTCTTTGTTGTGGCTGATCACAACTTGCAGAGCCACTGACATATGTCCTGCTTAATTTTTTATTACGCACATTTTTGGCCTTTCATTTCAGAATGTGTTTGGGTGTGGAGTGCTGTCTTTTCCTGTCCTCACTGATGTGGATATTGTGGATGATGATCTAAACAACGCATGTCATTCGTCCAAATCTGTCCTCTGGAAAATTAGAAATTAAATGTTCACTGTTATGGTGAATTATGCATATTTTCCAGGTGGGGGGCTTTAGAGATCATTTTAGCACAGCTCAGTGCTGAAATGTAAGATTAAATTCAGTACTAAAATATGTGTTCAACTGCATCTAAACATGCCATTATGAGTCAATATCAAAAGATTAACTTGGCTCACACTGTTTTGTGTAATTCTTTGATTTTGGGTAGATTATAGGAATAATCTATGGAAGCATGTTTTCGCTTAGTTTATATCTTACAAGTTTGAACAATTTGTCCCGCGATTCAGAAGAAAGGAAAATCAGAATTGCAGTGTAACAAGTCTGAAGTACCTTTTTATTTTGTTATTCTATGGTGAAAAAAAAAAACAATTGTGAATTTCTGAGAAAAAGTCAAAATTGTGACTTGTTAACTCACAATTCTAAGAAAAAAATTAAATGTTGCCAGATGTAAACTCGCAATTATGAGTTTATAGCTTGCAATTGTGAGAAAAATCTGAATGAGAGATTAAAAATACGCAATTACCTTTAAAAAAAAAAAAAGTTTTGTTCCTTGACAGAAACAAGCTTCCATAATAGTCTGTAGATGTCAGGGAAATTATAATATTAAGACCTGGAAAATTTGTGGAAATATTAATGGAAATTTCGAGAGTGAATGTAAATCGTTGTACTTATTCCAGTCCGCTCTTTTGTTATCATTTTAACGAGTGAAATCTTTGGTATTATTAAGAATCTTTATCTATTAATGATGAATGACTGTGAAGTGAGTATTCATAAAGGACATCACTGTTGTAGTGTACAAAATATCTTTACTGCCACAAGCATCTCCAAAACAATGACCGTATACTGACAGCTAAAATTAAACAGGACATATGCGAATGCTGTTTTTAAGTTTGCAATGTTAAAGGGTTAGTTACAAGACAGTCATTCCAGACATTAAAAGGGATAATTCACCCCAAAATGATAATTCTGTCATCATTTACAGACCTTTATATTGTTCCAGAAGAAATTAAAAAAAAAATATATATATATCTTGGTTGTTGCTTTCCATACAATGGAAATCAATGGGCTCCAATGTTGTTTAGACCCCAAAGTTCTTCAAAATATCTTCTTTTGTGTTCCGCAGCAGAAAGTCTACAGGTTTGGAACGACATGAGGGTGAGTAAACGATGACAGAACTTTTATTTTTGGGTCAACTATCCTTTTAAAAGTCTGGGATTATTAAAACAATATGCATGATGTGTCCATTTGAAATGATGTTTCTGAGTTCTCTTGGTGCTCTATATTATCTGAGAGTGACATTCACCACTGGCATGATGTGTCATCAAAATGATTGATCATACGGTTAAACTACACTTAAAATGAAAATGAAAGACTGCATTGCAATAAATCCGACAAAGTCATTGTATTCAAGGACAAGAACACAAACATTTGCAGACATACTTCATTAGCATAAGTTCTTAGTATCTCCTCTATCAGGGTAAGTACTTCCTTTTTTACAAAGGAAGTGACATCAAGATGGGCTGGCGGTTACTAATTATAGCTCACTATTTTTTAGACTTATAGTTTTGACAGTATGACTTAAGATGAAATGACAGTTCCTTTTATTAAAAAGTATATGACACAAAATATGTATTTACTTTGCTAAAAGGGTGTTTTTTTTCACTCACAAGAACCGTCCTTTCAGCAAAACATTCATTATTGCCAATTAGATTCAAAAAAGTAAAATACAGACATTTTCCCATAGATTTTCACTAATGTAGAAGCAGATAAATATTTATAAAAAAAAACTCCAAGCGTCAAATGTAAGTAAAATTCAAGAGTCAAGCCGGTAAAAAGTCCCACTTTCAAATAAAAACTCAAGACAGCGTGTACAAGTACAAGAAGACACGAAAGGGAACTCAAGACAGCGTGCAAATACTAAACTGAGCTCTCTTTCAGGTCTTGTGCTTAAACTGACAAATTCACAAAGGATTGTCATAAATGGCAGTCTTAGTAAACATAGCCAGTTATGGCTTAAGTGAATGTAAAGCGTAGAGAAAGACAACGCATGTGTATCAGTATTGGATCCGTGCATTAGTCTTAAAGTGACAGCAGCCAAATAATCCTGCTGCTGTCTGTTTTAAATGGTAATTAAACAACAAAAGACAAAGAAAAAAATGCTCTTGAATAACTTTTGTATCTCTAATAAAGATTCAATGATGTTTATTTATACAGTTGAGTTAAGACTATCCAGTGTCATTTTAGATTTTGTTAGTTTATTTAATGTCTCTACCTGAAAACTATTGTTACTTGTCTTTAAGAATGTTTTTAATGTGTATTAGTTCAATTAAAATAGAGAATTGTGATATTTCACTGGTATCTACAAATTTTGTTTTTTATAACTCTCTGTTTTTTTGCAAAATCGGTTTCATGGTCGGTAAAAAATATTTATGGCCGATCAATTTTCTTAAGTCTGTATGGCAAGTTAGTTTTAGGCCTGAATATGGGAATACTATATATACAGTGAGGAAAATAAGTATTTGAACACCCTGCTATTTCGCAAGTTCTCCCACTTGGAAATCATGGAGGGGTCTGAAATTGTCATCGTAGGTGCATGTCCACTGTGAGAGACATAATCTAAAAGAGATATCCAGAAATCACAATATATGATTTTTTTAACTATTTATTTGTATGATACAGCTGCAAATAAGTATTTGAACACCTGTCTATCAGCTAGAATTCTGACCCTCAAAGACCTGTTAGTCTGCCTTTAAAATGTCCATCTCCACTCCATTTATTATCCTAAATTAGATGCACCTGTTTGAGGTCGTTAGCTGCATAAAGACACCTGTCCACCCCATACAATCAGTAAGAATCCAACTACTAACATGGCCAAGACCAAAGAGACTAGAGACAAAATTGTACACCTCCACAAGGCTGGAAAGGGCTACGGGGAAATTGCCAAGCAGCTTGGTGAAAAAAGGTCCACTGTTGGAGCAATCATTAGAAAATGGAAGAAGCTAAACATGACTGTCAATCTCCCTCGGACTGGGGCTCCATGCAAGATCTCACCTCGTGGGGTCTCAATGATCCTAAGAAAGGTGGGAAATCAGCCCAGAACTACACGGGAGGAGCTGGTCAATGACCTGAAAAGAGCTGGGACCACCATTTTCCAAGGTTACTGTTGGTAATACACTAAGGGTGAATTAAAATCAGGAAAGTCCGATAGTTCACTTGCTTTGGTCCGGACCAAATAATTTTTTTTTTTTTTTTTTTTTTGTACGCTTCGCTTTCACACTGCTCTTTTTGCAAGTGAACCAAAATTTGTAAACAAAACCACATGTGTGCTAAGGTCGTCCATTCATTGGACAAGGATTCTCAAGTAGGGAAATCAGGAAGTGCAAAAAAGGCTCAGCATGGAGATATTTCGAACTGCAATATTTGTTATTTTACTAATTTTGTGATATTCTGTACAAACGCAATATGAAGAAACTGCGCAGAAGACGGATAAGGTATAAAGTTTTCATTCATAGAGAGGGGCTATGTTCACACATTCAAATAATGAGATTCTTATTGTATACTGCTAACAAGTGCTGTCCATGTTAACGCTTGCGATTAAGTTTGTCCAGTTTAACGCAGCATCATCCTTGTATTGTAACTATCGTTACATTATATTAACTGCAAAAGCTCTTTTTGCATCTATGCGCGATTAGACTAAAGAGAACGCGCTGTATGTGAATGTCCTGATGCACACACTCATTCATTCATTCCATTCCAATGATGCACACACACGACGCGCAGAAAGACGCGCAACAGTATCGTGTGGCCAGACAGCGCGCCGGAATGGAATTCTCTTTCGCACTTGAACAACAATAACACAAACCATTATGCCAAAATCTCCGACTACGGAAGCCTGTTAACTCAAAGGCGCACTGCTTTCTTGCAATTGGGTCGGTTCATGTTCACACCGTAAACGAACCATACCAGAGTTCGTTTGGAACCGTACCGAGACCACCTCTTCAGCTGGGTCTCGGTTCGGTTGTTTGGTCCGCACCCGAGTTCGATTGCTGTATTCACACTTGCCCAAAAGGTCCGCACCAAGGGGGGAAATGAACTAGAGTTTGATTCAATCGAACCAAACAAGGCAGGTGTGAATACACCCTAAGACGTCATGGTTTGAAATCATGCATGGCACGGAAGGTTCCCCTGCTTAAACCAGCACATGTCAAGTCCCGTCTTAAGTTTGCCAATGACCATTTGGATGATCCAAAGGAGTCATGGGAGAAAGTCATGTGGTCAGATGAGACCAAAATAGAACTTTTTGGTCATAATTCCACTCGCCGTGTTTAGAGGAAGAAGAATGATGAGTACCATCCCAAGAACACCATCCCTACTGTGAAGCATGGGGGTGGTAGCATCATGCTTTGGGGGTGTTTTTCTGCACATGGGACAGGGCGACTACACTGTATTAAGGAGAGGATGACCGGGGGCATGTATTGCGAGATTTTGGGGAACAACCTCCTTCCCTCAGTTAGAGCATTGAAGATGGGTCGAGGCTGGGTCTTCCAACATGACAATGACCCGAAGCACACAGCCAGGATAATCAAGGAGTGGCTCTGTAAGAAGCATATCAAGGTTCTGGTGTGGCCTAGCCAGTCTCCAGACCTAAACCCAATAGAGAATCTTTGGAGGGAGCTCAAACTCCGTGTTTCTCAGCGACAGCCCAGAAACCTGACTGATCTAGAGAAGATCTGTGTGGAGGAGTGGGCCAAAATCCCTCCTGCAGTGTGTGCAAACCTGGTGAAAAACTACAGGAACCGTTTGACCTCTGTAATTGCAAACAAAGGCTACTGTACCAAATATTAACATTGATTTTCTCAGGTGTTCAAATACTTATTTGCAGCTGTATCATACAAAAAATAGTTAAAAAATCATACATTGTGATTTCTGGATTTTTATTTTTAGATTATGTCTCTCACAGTGGACATGCACCTACGATGACAATTTCAGACCCCTCCATGATTTCCAAGTGGGAGAACTTGCAAAATAGCAGGGTGTTCAACTTATTTTCCTCACTGTATATACATACAGTATATAGATACATTCAAACTATTTTATATAAAAATGCTTGTAAATCAAATGGATGTTGCATCTCTGCAATGGAAGAAAAGGCAAAGAAAAGAACAACGGGATAAATTGCATTTATTTTCACTGAATATACTTTGTTACCAAACAAATTTGAACTTCACTGAACAAATTGCATGTATTATGGAGAATAATGGAGTAGATTGGAATCAGTTATGTTGCTGTGGTGCTGTAATAATGGTGTAATCTTCAAAGCTTGATGAGATTCACAGGCATTATTGATTTTCAGACTCAGTGAATCCATCCTAACAGTCATTGTAATGTAATATCAGCCCATGGGTTTGGAAAAAGAATTTAGACTTTATCCTTTACTGGTTCTCAACTGGTGGGTCACAGGTATGATCTGATGACAGCTGGGGAAATACATTTGAATGTTCATTTTTAAATACATTTTGTAAAGCAATTTTGGAAGTATGTTGGGTCTCCACTTAATGCAAAATCTTGATTCGGAAGCAAAACCAGTTTAGACCCGCTGCTTCAAAACATCTGTGTTTTGTTTTATTCTTCAAATGGAAATGATCCCATTAGATTCAGAGGAATTTCTTTGCATCTTACAATTTTATTCCTAAATAGCTTTCAGGTGCACACACACAACTAAATCTCATCAGTGTGCATAATCATGTTATAGGCTGTCAATCATCGTTGATGATAGTCACCCCCCCCCCCCCCCACCCCCCGTTGGCCGCCGCTGGTTTATTCCTGGCAGCGTAAATGATGCCTAAGTTTAAGCTCAAAGAACATATAATTACTTACAAAAAAACACGTCTTTTTTGTTGTTGTTAGACTCAACTCCTTAGTTTACTTCATGAAGAAAGAGTTTCATATTTCTCTCAGAATTACATTCTTTACATCACTTTGGCCATTCTAACTGTCAGCTCAATCCATGTCGTACAGATGCATTTCTTCCTGTGGATGACCTGACTCCTGGAGGTTTGCAGAAAGGGATTTGCAAAATAATGAAGGGCTCTGAAAACATACAGTAGTGTATTTCCTAACCCGAGTATACAGATTAATGGACTAAGGTTTCACGCTGAGATCAAAGCCTGTGGGTAATGATATACAGTTCATCACGTTGTGAGCGCCTCATTTTTCTTTCCATTCAGCGACTGTGTTTTTCAAGAAGTGAAATGTTGTATTGTTCCAGTAATCAATGTCCGCTCAGCTTTGTCAGAAATCAGGCATACCCATTTGTCAGCATAATGTGCAAATCCTGGAAGATTGAATTATTTTTAGAAGAGAAATTCTATTATATATTTTTATAATATATTATATATGTAAATATTTAATAAATATAAAAACATGCTATGTCATGTCAATGATTATATTTTCTATGCACATCAAATAATGATGCACCCAGGACTGGAACTATATTTTGACTACCGTTGAAAAGATTGCGTTCTTTTTTTTATTATTATTTTTTTAAAGAAGTCTCTAATGATCACCAAAGCTGAAAAATACAGCAAAAACAGTAATATTGTAAAAAAAAATTATTACAATTTAAAATAACTGTTTTCTATTTGAATATATTTTAAAATGTAATTTATTCTTGTGATGTCAAAGCAGAATTTTCAGCATCATTACTCAGTGTCACATGATCCTTCAGAAATCACTCTAATATGCTGATGTGATGCTCAAGAACGATTTCTTATTATTAGCAATGTTGAAAACAGTTCTACTGCTTCATATTTTTGTGGGAATCTGAATTGGAATATACAAAAAAACAAACCAAACAACGGGAAGCCATTAATTTTATTAGCTATTATTTAATGTGTACTTATTTTTGCATAAACATTTACTGATGTCATGTTTTAGTAACAATCTACAATGTCGCTGCTGGGAATGGGAATTATGATGTTTTTGCAGTTGCCAGTTTTACAGCTTTGAAATGTAAATGTCCATGCTTTGAATGTTGTTTCTTATGCATCATGTATGTGACTTGTAAAAAGATGCAGCTGACAAAATGGTTGTGTGCAATGCATGTCATGCAAGGCTAAATAAATAGTCAATTAGCAGACTACAAAACAGTCCCTCTGGAGCAGCCCATGGTTTTGTATGTTACTCAAGGGAATGATGGGGATTGCTTATGGATCTCCCCAAGTGGGAAACCTACCTTTTTTGTAATCAGCCTGGGTCACTATTTCACACCACCCTGGAGATAGTGTCACAAAACTGTTGTTTTCAACCAGGGCAGGCAAAGATTGACTGATTTTGCATGCCTAGGTCTGAGTTTGGGGATTGTGTAACTACCGTTAGCTGTGTTGTTGACGCAGGAGGCTGGAGGGAGTCGTCTTTGACTGCGGCTGTGAGATTCGATGGATTCAGCTCTGGCAGCTGCGAGGTGAGGCCGGCCTGCACACCCAGCAACTCTACTGCAAGAACGGCGCATACAAGATTCGCCTGAGATCAATGAGCATTGCCCACTGTGGTAAGACATCTTTCTTCATAAATAATACAACTGTAAGCCAAACATGCACTACGTATTGCTATATAAGATTATATTACTTGTATGATGCAATGCTTATCTAATATTATGATGTAGTATTGATTTTCGAACAATGTCCTCGTATAATCAAGGAAATTGTGCAGAGTTTTGACATGCAAACATATTTGGATACACATCAAAACATCATATACAGAAGAGACATGAATATTTTTGCTAAAAACATTTTTATGCCAAAAAAAACATGTGAACTGCCAGGGTATAAACCATGCATATTTGGGGGTTAAGGTTCACACTAAATGATTACAATAAGCATTTTAGTATAACATTATACATTTTACTGAATTTTATTTACTGAATAAAATTTTACTGAAATCTATTGAATTATTGAAATATTTTTGAATTAAACTAAAATTAGAACTGAAAATATAAAAATGAAAGTAAAGTTTCAGTATTTTTGTTGTGCTTTTGTAAATTATTATTTTATTTAAATGTTTCTATTTGTCTTTTATTTATTTTTACTTCTGTTTCAGTCATTTTATTACCTTAAACCTATTTATTTGCCAAAGTAAGTTTTTCATTGAATTTTAGGAAATTATAGCAACACTGTAACAGATATAGATGCTTTCATAACATAGCAGACACCCTCCACTATTTTACATTAGAGGAAAACTGAAGTAAAGAGCAGCACAATATAGTATAAATTATAGTATATCATCAAACAACATGACATTTTCTTACAAATAAATGACTATGCTAGTTATAGCTTACACTAATTGTTACGCTTTGGTATTAACAAACAAAATGTTTACACAATATATACCATGTTAATTTGCTAATTATGAACTGGTGGTAAAACATGGTAAAAAAAAGTATGTTGTTTGCCTTAAACTATTCTTTTAAGAAAACAATCAACGTATAGACTTAAAAGTCCTTGCTCTGATCTAGACCTGCCAGATATCAGCGTTGCTCACAGTAACCTCACTGTGTTGGAGGGCGATAACGTGATGCTCAGCTGTAACGGCTCTGGTTCTCCGTTACCTGAGGTGGACTGGACTGTGAACGGCCTTCACTCCATCAACACGCACCAGGTGAGCGCCATTCATCCCACACCAAACAAACTCTCTAACCTTATTTTCAATCTAACCATAGCATAATGTTTCTCGTCTGCCCTCCAGTCGAATGTCTACTGGCCCAACATTCACTCCATCAACTTGACGCTGGTCAACGTGAGCAGAGACGACAACGGATTTGTTCTGACCTGCATCTCTGAGAATGTGGTGGGGATGACCAATGTGTCCCTTCAGCTGGCTGTGCTATGTACGTATAATTCGCTTGTTACAGCGTTTTCGTGTCTCATACTCAATGGTGTTTGCTGTTGCTAATACTGAAATATGTCAAATTATGCAGCTTGTTGAGGCAAGATATGCTGGTACTTTTAGAAATCAGGGACAGGATTCACAAAACATTCATACGAATAAAATTATTCTTAACCCTCTAGGGACCAAGAACGCGCCGGCGTGTTTTGCTGTTTTTTTTTTCACATAGCAGCAACATAGACTTAAAATACTCCGTCATTTATGGTCATATAAATGCTATCTCCTTATCTTCTTAAGAATAAAGTTAAGAATATTTATAAAATTTGAGAGAACCTCAAATAAGCTAACTTCATAAATTGATGTTTCACTTGTGTGAGTGAAATGTACTAACTAAGCATTTTTTAGTACAACATACTATTTCTATTTCACTTTACATGTTTGTTTTGAGGCAATCGGTTTACATGTTTTTTTTATCAAAGTCAGCTTAACTAATTAGATATTACAGTGTAGCGAGATATACTGTAATACGTATTACATTAGTGTGCACGAGTACAGTGACACCAGTCATGGATAATGTAAACAGGGATCGGTCATGATTATGTGCCACAGTGTGACATGACTTTTTTCATGAATCCAGCCCCAGACTTTCACCTGGCAGATGATAAAACATGGCACACAAAAAGAAAACAACAACAACAACAAAAACAACAACAACAACAACAACAGATTTAGAGACCAGAAAGTATCCACCCTAAATTCTCTAGCCATTCAGAGCACCTTGGCAACTACAATGCAATGCCCTGCCAATCACCCATTGCACACTATCAGCGAGTTTTGTACAGGAAAGCGTCACTCGGATTTCCTTCAGAAAATGTGAGGATCTAGTTCTATCAGCATGTTTTCATATCTGGTTCTTTTGGTGAGGTAAAGTGAAACATCAATGGCAAATAAAATTAAGTTCTCTTTTAAAATCTGCTGCAAAATTGATCCCTTTTAGCTTTAATAAAGCACACTGAAGCTTTTCATATAACCACTGCAAAATAAGTTCAGTGTACTTTATTTTTTATTTAATCTGCGTCCTGTAATTGCTGAAGGTGTGCTAAGAATGGCTTTATTTTATGTACAAAATGAGAAGTTGAAATATCATTAGTGTTTTCTGAATCTACAGCAACTAGCCAAAAATGTATGTATTTTTTGCCTAGTTAAGAGCTTGTGAATTATATGCGAAGACTGTTGCAGAGATAGATGAACACAACTGTTGTTTATTTGTTGTTCTATTGGCTTATTTTAATGAATTACTTTTACCTGATTAGCAAATCAGACTGAATCAAACAATGACTGAATCAAGCAATGTTCAAATGCAAATGTGTAAGTTTTATGAAACTTAAAGTGCCCCTATTATGCCATAATTTTGTTTTGGAGGACTCCTACAATAGTTTTACATGCATACAAGGTCAAAAAACACTTACATTTTTTCATAATATACATTGCACATCACCTCTTTTCTCGACGTGTCTAAAAACAGTTTGTTCGAAGATTCAGTCTCTCTAAACCCCTTCTTTCCGAAAGCCTACTCTGCTCTGATTGGTCAGACGGCCCAGTCTGTTGTGATTGGTCTACCGCTTACAGAGCGTGTTGGAAACCAAATGTCCATTACCATATCTGAATTTCAGCTCTGGAGGCTTCCTTAGCACTTGATACACAATGATACGTACAGTAATGATGGCATTGATTTTACCATATCAGTTAGAGTCCTCGTCCTTTTGACGTTCATGCAAAGTGGATTTGCTGCGCAGAAAACAGCACCTCCTCGACATGTCGACAACACAAGCCAAACTTTTCCAGTCTGAGCTACAGTTTTTGAAGACGGGTCAAAGTAGACGTTGTTCACGGGCAGCCAATGAAGACCATACGCTGGCATTATGCAAATGTATTACAAACCTACATTCACAAACAGCTATATTACACACTGCATGAAAGGAAATATTCGAAAAAGCATAATAGGGGCACTTTAAATGAATTCCAATTCTCACTATTAACTAGTTGCTTATTAGCATGCATATTACTAGGATGTTGGCTGTTTATTATTACTTATAAAGCACATAGTATTGCCTTATTCTTCATGATCTATTCTACATCCCTTAATCCTAGCTAATACCTAAACTTAACAACTATCTTACTAACTAATAATAAGCAGTAGGAGTTTATTGGCAAAAGTCATAGATAATAGTTAGTTAATAGTGAGAATTGGACCCTAATCTAAAGTGTATAATTCCAAATACTTGTTTGATTGGTTACAGTTTAGTTTAAGAGTTTTAGTGTACTAAAAGGGTAGAATGTGTACAATTCTGTAGAAAACACTGAATAATTTTTATTCAAGGGCTTTTATTTGAATAACTTGAATATAGGCTGTGAATACTTATTTAGAAATCATGCTGAAAATGCATTTACTGAAATTGTTGCAAACTTTAACGCAGATAACACCATACTTTACTCTGAAAAGAATAATAACTGTATGGACACGTTTAAAATAGAACAAGGTACTAAATGAACTGATACATCAATTAACACCTATGAACCTGTAAGACTTTGTGATAATTTAATCTGAGGGTGTGCACGTATTTAGGGATTGCGTTAGGTTGTGATGCATAAAAATAGACCTCTTTCCTTGCACCGTGTTAAACTGGGTTAAACAGGTATAAGATGAAAATCAACCAGAGGAAAAATTGTTTCTGCAATATCTCTGCAACTTTTTCTGGTTTTAATAGGAATGGAGGATTTTTCTCGCTGATGCCGTTAATGTTTTAGGACTCAGATATGATCTGACACTCAGACATCATTATGTTCATTAAACAGCACATGATTTTAAGACATTGAGTTGATGAAAAGCATTACATTTTATCACTCTGCTGACTAATGACTTTGACGTTAAATTGAGATGACAGCAACAAGATATAAGGCTCTGAGTGGAAAAATTGTCAAGTTTGGTATTAATAACCAAGTACAGGGTCTTGTCTTTATTAAGGAAGTGAAAGGAATGATTGCTGATGGCTTATAATCTCTTTATATAGCTAATTATATTATATTTAGATTATTATCCTGTTAATTTTTGTTAAAATTTTGTTTTTGTCTCATTAGATTTTTATTAAGTATGTCCCATTAAGTAGTAATTATGTGTATATATATATTTGCCATATTTCTTTTGACACATTTATGTATGATGTTGGACACCATGTTTATATATAAATATATATATATATATATATATATATATATACCAAATAAATAGAAATGCTGTATTTGTTAACATTAGTAAATGTACATCCGGCCGATTGTTATCGCAGAATAAACCCTGACAGGGTGATCAGGATCACGACGCGAACTGGAGGGCTCTCGCATCAGCCTGAAGGGGTTTATTTTGCGATAACAACCCGGCTGGATGTGCATTATCCTGCTTATTACATTGCTACTTGCCACATAAGTAAATAATTAGACATGAAATATTGATTTCGAAATATGAGTCGAAATATTTTATTAGGTCTTTAAACGCAAAACTTCCGTGGAGAGAGCAGTTGCTAAGTTCAAACTAGACGGACATGTAAGGGATAAGGTACAGTCATACCACTTTTGCCACATAAATAATTATGGGAATGAGAGATATTGATAAAAATCTTACCTGTTTGTCATCTTATAATCCATTACAGTGTACAAAACAATCGTTGCAAAATGGCAGCAGCTGCGTTTATGAGAGCGAGTGTGCGATACCCGGATGACATCATTCATTAATTGTACACAAAATATTAGATTTGAGTTTTGATATTTTATTGGCTCACCAAACACAAAACTTTCAGGAGGATAAAAAAGTTAATAGCAAGCGTATAGCGTTAAATTCAGTAACCTGGATAAGCCCGTGTTACCTGTTTTTAGCGATTGTTATCAGAGAATAAACTCCGACAGGGTGATCAGAACTATCATTAACAAACAATGAACGACTGTATATTTATAAACAAACATAAACAAAGATTAATATATACTGTAACAAATGCATTGCTCATTGTTAGTTCATGTTAGTTAATACATTAGAATAATATATATATATACTGTATATATGTATAAGAAATCGCAATTGGGTGCAGTCAGTGTCAAGAAAGCCAAAAGGTGAAAAGTGCACCAGTTGAATTTTTGCATTCAGATCAAAAGGTTTGGAATATGAGATGCACATATGGGATGCACATCCCTCCCGTTCTCTTTCTCTCTCCTGGTGGGATTGCAGCAGGACTCCCTAAATGACAGGCCTCATGCAGTAGTCAGAGCAGACAGGCCGAGAGCAAGGTTGCTGCTGCATGCTGATTCTAAAACACATGTCATCTGTTTAGGCGGGATGTGTGCCGAGCCGCTCTACAGGAGGGATCTATCTCTCATCTAGTCTCATCATTCAGCCAAGCACAAATCACTTCGGCGAGAGAAGGCAGCTGACAATAATGATGCGTTTTCATTTGAATGACAAACAAATGCGCAGTGTCGGACAAGACATTTGCATGTGGTTTACCTTTGAATAGTGTACAATAATATACAGTCTGTGACAGCATGATTACGAGATGTCCCTCTGTCAATTTATGCTCTGTCCATTTTTCACTGAAAACCCAATTTATAAACATAACTGTGGGCCAAGTTTTACTGGTTCTGCTTTTTACTTGACAGCAACTCCATTGTTAAGAAATCTACGCATTTCACCAAAAAAAAGTCTTTCTTTGAGTCTTTTATATTAAAGGAATGGAAACTTAGATTAAAGTAGTAGAATATTTACTCACTCACGTCTTTGTTGTTGTAGTCACTCTCATGTTGCATTTATTATTTTATTTTATCTGTGACTGTGAAACATTAATGAATGTCTGAGCTTCTGTCTTCTGATTTATACAGACAGGCTTCTTATAAGTTGTACTGTACACTATATTCATCTGAAGTAGTTTAATCGCTTTGTGTGGTGAACAAAACGCAATTATAAAGTTGCTTTCACTGATAATTTTCCTGTCTTCCCTTCAAATCTAAATTGCAGTCAGCATGTCAAGATCTGTCACCTGGCAAATGAGAACCAGTGCTGTTTAGTGTCAGCAACATATAGTGGTTCAAATTACAATAAATTTGTCCGTAGTGCACATGCAACAAGTTTAGGCTCTGTTCACACTGCACCCGATTCTGATCTGTCTTTTTACATCTGACATTATCTGTTCACACTGTCATTCTACAGGTAATGAAATTAGATCAGCTTGGTGCCATAGTGATGATGCCAGAGATATAAGAGAGTCATTGTGGAACGATATCTGGCCTCTGCTCATGTCTATAACTGGCATCTCAGCGCAGTGTTGAAGTTGGAGGAATAAAATGCATATAAATATGTAAAATATATTTATTTATATAATTATATATGTAATTATAGTTATTTATATAATTTATAACTGTTTTCTATTTGAATATATTTGAAAATAGTTTCAGCATCATTACTGCTTAAGACATTAAGTGATTAATTAAGTGATTGTTGAGCATTAATGATGAACACCTGCTGTTAACATCACTGAAGGAAAGAGAAACACAAGAACTACAACTGACTTCCAACCACAACATTAGATGAAATCAACCGAAGATAAAATGTTTAAATCTCTCAAGATCTCAGAGGAGGATTGAACAACTCCACAAACAGCATTACCAGCTTCACTTATTACTAACCAGGTTGACTTTTATCATGCGTCTACAGAAGGTGTTATTGTGAATGAACAGAGGTTTAGATGAAGATGATTTATTGAGTTTGCATTTAAAGACACCATGATAGTGGTCAGTGTTTGCTTTAGTTGGGGTCTTGACCCTTTACTTTATGACACCAGTTTTTCCTCTGGCTGCTGTAACTGAGTGTTTAAATAACACATTTGTTATGGCACAAAAGCCAAAAGAAAATTTTGTTTTGATGATGATTTATGGAATGATGAATCATCATTTGGTGTCTTGATTCTCTGATCTTTTCTAGAGAGTAATCTCTGATAAACAGGTGATATATAACTAGTATTATTCATTATAAAAGAACTGTGATTCTGCTGGAAGGCCCTTTCAATCAGATTTTAAAAACCTCTATGGTATCATGCTGACTTACACAGACATCAAGAATCAGTATATGAATCTCAACAATGGTGACCATTAAAAAATGATTCATGCTGCAATGCATGCTGGGAGCCATGGATAAGGTTTGTATTATGGTAGTACCCAGCATTCATTGCAGTATGAATAGTTTTTTAATGGTCACCATTGTTGAGATTCATATGCTGATTCTTGATATCTGTGTTAGTTTTGGCAATGAATTACATTTTCTGTAAAATCCTTCATACTATCTGAAATTCATAACATTTCTAGTTCTTATGTTGTAGAATCTATTTTCAAATACAATTAATAATATAAGCAGAGATTAGACTCTGAATGAGATCAGTGAATCAAGTCATTAAGTGATGATTGTCATCATCAAACCTTGACCATCATCACCCGATCATACTTTTCCTTGACTTTTGTGCCATAACGAATGTTTTATAAACACTCAGCAGCCAAAGACAGACTTGTACTCAAACATCAAGGGTCAAGAGCCCAACTAAAGCAAACGCTGATCTCCATCATGGTGACCTTAAACCTTGTATTTCTTGTGTTTCTCTTTCCTTCAGTGATTCTGCTTGTTAACAGCAGGTGTTAATCACTAATGAGCAATCATCACTTAATTGATGATTAATTAACTTAACTATACTATTATTATTCAATTATCATTCTGGGATCTAGAAATGTTCTATAACTCATTCAGTTTGAGTTCTGTTTCAGTCATTCAAGACACTTCAAGTTTCGGTATTATTTGAGTGCAGTGACCTCAATTTAATTGAGTAAATAGTACTGTTAGGTTTTACAGTATGTATCTGTTCCAATTTTTTCTTTTTTCATATCAGTTCCGCCAGTAATCCTGAAGCTGGACGAGCCGGAACGGCGCCATCACACCTGCATCGAGTTCACCGTGAGGGGCTTTCCCCATCCCACACTGCGCTGGTTCCACAAGGATCTTGAGATCCAGCAGAGCGAATATATCCGCATGGAGATGGAGTACTACCAAGATTACTTGGAAGGCTGCTTGACTTTTGAGAACCCAACGCATTACGACAATGGATACTACACCCTAGTAGCCACTAACTCCCTTGGGTCAGTTACCAAAACCGTCCACGGCTATTTCCTTGAGCCACCGTTTAGTGAGGATGACGGTAAGTCTGCACAATGTAATTTATCATTTATCACAAGGTATGAATTTGCTCTGATATTTATTAATTTTATTCTGATACACCCTTATGTATATATACAGAACCTGTCAAAAGTTTGTTTTTAAAAGAAGTCTCTTATGCTCACCAAGGCTGCATTTATTTCATCTAAAATAAAACAGTATTATTGTAAAAATATTATTACAATTTAAAATAATTGTTTTCTATTTTAATACGTTTAAAAATGTTATTTATTCCTGTGATCAAAGCTGAATTTTCAGCATCAAAAGATGTCTATTTAATAAATCCTTTAATAAACGTAACAAATAAATTTAATAAATGCTGTTCATTGAACTTTCTATTAGTCAAAGAATCCTGAAAAAAATTTGTCACCATTACCACAAAAATGTTAAGCAGCACAACTGTTTTCAACATTGATAATAATAATAATAATAATAAGAAGAAATGTTACCTGAGCGCCAAATCAGCATATTAGAATGATTTCTGAAGGATCGTGACACTGAAGACTGGAGTAATTATGCTGAAAACTATATATGAACCATTTGTATGTATTTACAACATTTTCCTTCTTTTTTTTTTTCTCCTCTTGCTGTTCTTTCAGGAATAATTGAGTACAGTAAGTGCCTCTCTTTTTGACATAATACTTAAAAACAGACAAAAAAATATTGGTCACATCTCATGTCCTTGTTCTGGCTTGGTCAAAACATAATAAATATTTTGTTTCAGATACACTATAATCTATGATCTTAAATACAGCATTGAAGGAATTGATAAGATAAGATACATTTTCAAGATTTATCTCATACACTAGGTCTTCTCAAGTGCACCCAAAACACAGAACTTATCAAACAAGAATGTATTATGTAGTAACTGTGTACCATGCTATACTTGAAGTCGTCTGGTGTCTGTAAAAGAGGACACCCCTAATGACAGTTCACTGAGATAAACGGAAGAATAGCCCTCATGAATTGCAGCATGTATTGGACACGTATACAAGCTCTATGCATTAAGAGACCAGGATGGTATAATTGTTTTTGAGTCGGAGGACGGCTCATGCTTTGGGTGTATGATGTGAGCTCTGCTGCACCTCTGCCATTACGACTCAATTAAATGTCAATTCCTCTCTGACACTTGTGAACAAGCCACACAGGTTGAGACAAAACCCTCTTTTACCAATCAATGTGGCTTTCAGGCAGCATCATAAAAGTAGCCAAGAAGTGACATGAAAATAAGGAACAAAAAGTTTTCAATATATAGGGGGGAGCAGGGATAGTTGTAATAGAGGGACATTGTCACAGGGCTGAATAGTTATTGAGTCAAAAGTCGAATTAAATTAGATTTATTTCTTTAAATTAGGATATTATGAAGTTATGACTCACACTGTGATACATTGCGACAAGAGTAGTTTTTATATACAGTATAAACATTTTATAAACATTTTATTAATTATAATATATATTGGGCCAAACAATGGTTTGATTTTCAGACCACATTTCAAAAGTAAACTGAGACATATTAAAAATAATAAAAAGTGTGACAACTATACACACTCTCATCTGCATTAGTGTTATTTTTGTGTAATTTTTAAAATATTATAGTATTTATTAATATTTTGAATTATATTAATATTTTTAGTTTAATTAGTTTTTAATTTTGTTTTTTTTAGCTTAATATTTCTATTTAGCTTTGTTTTTTCAGTTTTAGTTTTAGTAATTTAGTAATAAGGCAACACTTCTAATTTTCATGCAGTACTATATTATATTTAAATTCAGCTTTATTTTAATTAACGAAAACAATTTTCATAGTTTTAGTTTTAGTTAATTTAATAATGCTCTTCATGAATGAAAGCATTTTTTTGGCCTCCTCAATTGTGCAATGTCATTTCTATTTCCTGTAGCTCCAACAGCTGAAGATGAGGCAAAGAGACCTGAAGAAGATTCATTTGGAGTAAGATGTCCTTTCTGTTCTCCTATAATTTCGATTGTGCTTTTCAGCAGACGTTGCTGTGTCATTGACTGCTTTATTGCTTTTTTCCCGTAGATGTCGATTGCTGTTGGTCTGGCTGGCTTTGGTTGCGTCTTCCTCATTGTGATTTTCGTCCTCATCAACAAATATAGCCGACGTAACAAATTTGGGATAAAAGGTATGAATAGATTATTCTGGTAGATTTTCTTCATGTTGAAATGCTTCTTGAAGGCAACATTTAAGTCCATATTTTGATGGATATTTACAATTGATTTTTGCCTGGATGTTTTATCCATAGATAATTGATTGGATCATTAAAAAGTGGTCTCTATATACGACAGGTGCTTGGATGGGAGCAATTGAAAAGTAAGAGGTGAAGACGGATGAAAAGGAAAGTCAGTTTAGAGCAAGCTAAATCATTTTGCTAAAAGATTATAAAGGCAAACATTTGTGTCTTAATGTGTCTTCAAGTAAAAAGGGTCCATTTTGATTTCATGTTGATTTTTATTCCCAGTGGCAAAATGAGAAAAAAAAAAGAACAAGAAAAATCACCCTTTCTCGAAGCAAAACAATAGATTTCCTCAGTCTTTCAGTTGTCAATCATCTCGGTAACATAATAGTTCTCGGCTTTGGTTTTGGGCTATGTTTAGTGCCTGCTTTTAAACAGTGGTCTGGCACATCATGAGTCAGATAGGGTTTGGTTTGTGCTGTGTGGGTTTATGTGAATAGAATTTGAGTTGAATGCATCCTCCAGTCTCAGACCTTGGGGAGGCAGTTGGCGGAAATGCCTGTGAGCCTTTCTTTGGTTAGCCCGACTTCCTCTGCTAATATTCTAGTTTATATCACTGTGGTTCAAGTGTTTTCAGAGTTTGTTGTAGGGGTGGGCAGTACCATTTAAAATTTTTTTATAAAAAAGACATATGATGATGTGACAACAAATGGAAGGTACTTTTCTTTGTAACTAAAGTCGTTCATCATAATGTAAAGCTGATTTTGCATTGATGCCAATGGTATTTTTTATATTAATCATATTATTCAAGTTATGAAGTTCAACCAAAAATACAATTCCTGTCATCATTTACTCACCCTCATGTTGTTCCAAACCTACATAGATATAGGCCTCTGACATAACATTTCAATCATGTTTTGCCATCCAAATAATGGAAATTATATTGCAGTTATATTATATTATATCCAACTATACCATCGCAGTTATATTCTTCTCCGAGCATTGACCTCACTTCACTCTGCCTTCGAAATTTCGAATAATGACTGTGTGTCTGAGGCAATATGTCAAAGAGCAAACAAATGACAGAAATTGATTTTATGTTTCCCATCCCCATTGCAGACCTCATATCCATCTTCGCTTTTTAAAGATTGTGCCCCTAAACCAATAAAAACATGTTGGTCAATGCATGACCCTCTTGATCTTCAAGACTCCCTGCTCTTTTCTCGTATATGTATAGCATCTTCTTTTTTTTGTGACAGTCCTGTGAGAGACAGAGAATAGGAGCTTCGTTCAATCCGAGAGGAACGGCTCATTTTGTCTCACGCTCATTGGCAAGGTTGAAGAGGCATAAAAGGCTTGACACTCAAACCGTGACGTCAATACAAGCCCTTTTCAGAACGCTGGCCTTCCCACAATACACCACTTGTACTGTTTTTCTCTTCAAATCAGCTGGAGGTCTTAGGCAGCCATTACCTCAGATTGAGCTGTATTGGATTTTTGCCTCACTCAATCATTCTGGAGGCTTTTTTGCAGTTGGAGTTTGATCACAGACTATTTTGGAGCAGTAAAATCTGATTTTGTGTCTGTGTGTGTGTGTTTTCCTTGCTTTCTGTGTTTGGACCTTTAGATTGCTATGAAATCATCAGATCATAAATGGATGTTGTGCTGCACAACGTCCGATTGATTTCGCTTGCCTTTCAGGGCACTTCTGCAATTGGTAAAGCTTTATAATCTGGCTGTCTTCACTTACGTGTTTGGTTGAAATTGCAAGTTTGTAGAGTGGTAAAACTCGAGAGAGGTATCATTTTTGCGTATTCTTAATTTAAGACCCTTATCAAGTTATTCCTGTATCCTTCTTGATAATTTTTTATTCTCTCTAGTGTATTTACATTAGTTTGCCATAATAAATGGAGTATTCAGACAGTAATTATTTCTTAAAGGGATAGTTCACCCAAAAATGAAAATTCTCACACCTTCAATGAAATGTGTTCATTTACACACCTTCAAATTGTTCCAAACCTGTATGAATTTCTTTCTTCTGCTGAACCCAAAATATGATGGGCCCTATTTAATTCCATAGTATTTTTTTTTTTTTTCATATTATGGAAGTCAATCCTTTAAAATAAACAAGCTTCCATATGCTTCTGATTGCTTTTAGAGGGAAAAGCTGTCTATAAATGCTGGTCTAGGATCAGTTTTCTCCGTAATGAAAGAATATTGGCGAAACTTCTGTGTTTTGGGCGGTGAGTGGATTAGTTCTACGCGCGCGCAAATCCTCTCATTATAATAAACAGTTAGGCTGTGTAAATAAGACATTATTGTGCATCAGCTTTACTGATAGCCTAATGGAACTTTGTGAGATTGCGATGAAGTTGTAGCTATAACCGCTTTTTAATGATAATAAAATAAGCGCTCTTTGCGAGCTTTCTGCCATGCCAAATCCTGCATATAGCCTAGTAAATGTTTTTAAAGGGGAAGCGCATATCAGAAACTTCCTATTTTGTGTTTGGGTGTTGTTTTAATATAGAATTTGGTCTATTTCAGTTATATTAGACTAAATACGTGATGTTATTGTTTTGGTGACTGTCTGTTTTGTAGATCATAAAAAAGTGTGCCCCCCCATGAAAATGAAATGCCCCCTCCCCCATTCTAGATGACAGCCCTGGTGATGTGCATGGATGAAAAATGACACTTATGCATTCAGATGGCAGTCGTTTTACGAGGAGAAGAGTTATTTTAGGGAACTTGTACGTTTATTTCTATAACCGTATTCCAACATTATGTCAAGAAAGTGAAGCGTTAATGCTTAGCCTGTTGCTGCCATTATAAGGATCTTTTTTTAACAGTTTACCTGATAAGATTTTGGACCTATTGCACTTAGCAGTGCTCAAAAAGAAGCAAAATTTTGCTCAATTTCTCATTTTTCTTTAAGTTTGTCAAACCACAGTGATACAACCACAGACTATCGCCTGTAAATGATTCTCACGTCCTTGTATTTATCAACTACTGTTGAAATAAGACCTTAATGCCTGCATTTTTTCAGTGTAAGGGGCAGCTTGATAACATCTTGTCTATTATTTTTTTATATATATATATATGTTCATACATTTAAAAAGGAAGCTTTGGTCTTTGTTTGAACAATTTCCTGGTTCTGTGGAGGGAAACTTCTGTTAATCAGTTCCTGTCCTCTATCAATCAAAATGCCAATAAGAAAATAATTGATTTCCATTACCGAGAAGAAAGTACACCGGAAATGTTGTTTTCTAGCATTTCTTTTTACAACATTTCCGCTGGGGATATTTAAGATGTTTTATTGAATTGAGTTCCATATAATGCATTCATTTCCTGTCTCAGGACATGATTTTTTTTTAAAGAGAGCTTCAGGCTTGTGTCTTTACTGGTCATTGTTTTATCTGAATTAAAATCAGACATTTTGTCCAGCCTCAGATCTGTAATATAATCAGCTTGCTTCATCCGTGATATAGAACTGACATTGCAGATGCATCGGGTATCGTTCACTAACTGCGTACACACATGGTTGTGTGTAAAACCTGTGCGCTGTGCTTTTATTCAGAAATATTGATCCATAAATTAGATTTTTTTCAAAAAATAACACAAAAACAACTGACAAAAGAAGAGTAAAAGAACTTTTACGTGTCCTGTTCAAATGACTAATTTACGTCTCTGAAAAACACACAAAATTATGCCAAAATGCCTTTTTTTGTCGAGTATCAAGCACAGTTAAATGACTTAAATGAAGTCTTAAATGTATGGAAAGAGTTATGAGAAAATAGGATGTTTGTCAGATCTGCGACATGTGCTCACGTCTTAAAGTGACAGCAGCCTATTAAACCTGCTGCTGTGATGTATGTCATTAATGATAATCAAAGAAAAAAAAGACAGAAAAAAATACAATTTTGTAGCTTTAAGAAGTATTAATCTATATTTAATTTAGAATTTATGCAGTGAAGACTGTGAATTGTTTGCTAACTTTATTCAATTTCTGTATATATCATACGTGATAGACCTACCTAAAAATCTTAAAGCACTGTTTACAAGGTTGCATGGGTCAAAAACATTGAAAACAATAACTTTTTGTGCATTTTTACAGTGCAAGTAAAAATCTGAACTGGTCTGACTGGGCCAAAAGAAAAAATTGAGCCCTGATTTATTGAAGGGCACAGGTAAATGTCACATTTATTATAGTTGGTTTATGTGAAGATTGTTTTAAGTTAACTTAAATTAAAAGTTATCTTATTTAAAGCCTAATAAATGTAAAAAAAAAAAAAAAAAAAAAAGGGGGGGAAAAAGCTAGCTTTCAATTATACTGTAATGCTTCATGCCTATATGGCTAAAACTGAGAAAATGTTTTATTTCATAAAGACATCAGTAGCAGCATTACACTCTAAAAAATGCTGGGTTTGTCTTAACCCAAATTTGGGTAAAATATGGACAAATCCAGCCATTGGGTTACATTTTTAAATACAATTTTTGAACCAACGGTTGGGTTTGTCCATATTTGACCCAAATTTGGGTTGAAACAACCCAGCATTTTTTAGAGTGTAGTATCGGTGATACTCGCCTTCATTCATAACAATATTAATTAAACAAATATTTATGTTGTTTCTGCAAGAGATTAAATTAAATTTGAAGATTAAATGTGAAACTATTACAATATAAATATATATTAAAAACTTTAATGTTAGGTTTTATTAATCGCGATTAATTACAGAAAAAACTTGCAATAAAGTAGTTATTTTTTTAATTGATTGACAGCATATACATAATATATACAGTATATATATATATATATATACATAAATATGTAAGTGTGTGTGTGTGTGTGTGTGTTTCACACACAAACACACACACACACACATATAATATATAAATATAATAATGTATACACACTCATCTTATATTAACAAAAACCTGTTATATGCAATTAA